GATTTGTCAGTGACGCTTGAGAATGAAAATTTGCCACCTGCCCACGGCGCAGCATCTATTCAAGCAAAATGTCAATAAAAATACTAATAATAATAAGAATAATAATAGTAATAATAATAATGTATATTCCCAACCTGCTGGTGGCATACTTGTTGGTGGCATGATCATGCGTTTACAGTCAGGCTGGGGTATGACAAGCGGATTTGCGGTTAGTGAGGATTGCCCTAAAAGGGGACAATGTCACAAAGAGTGGGAAGTACTCCATTAAATAACAACACTGTGTTCCTTTCGCAACTTGTAGGGAACAATGGGCATGAGGACCGACTAATTCAAAGAATCAGTCGGCTGACATGAGTTAAAACTGGAAAACCATTTCTGGCTATGAGTGACCTTGGGCGGTTGGTTAAATGGCCGGAGTCGCAACGAGCAAAGGTGGATGTGGAGATCGGATAATTCGAATTAGGAGAACATGGCAAGTTTACTCTCAAAAATATGGCGCAACCTGAGAACAAGCAGACCCACTGGTTGCACTGTTGTAGGGAAGTCAGGTGAACGGGTTTGGTTGGATGGGGACACAGAGGTGGTTGAATTCGAACGAGTAGTCCAACAAACTGGAATGAATGTCATGGTGGCAGTTGGGGTTAATGGAACGAGTAGGCAAGAGGGCTCGGCTGGGAAGAGGAATGGAACAGTTGCGGGTGTGCTATCAAACTGAGCATGGCAGTGCCGTGCCATCATTGGCCTGACATGCTTCAGTTTTTGGACAGCCCCGCGACGGGCGTCACATTTGAGATGATTCAGCTGGGGGTGTGCAGTTCATTGAGCAGTGGTATTAATTTCAGCCTGGTCGAGGAAACAAGCTGGAACGAAGCCAACATGGGATTGTAGGGTTTTTGTCGTCCGCTTGATGATCCCGGAGTCCTAGATCATAGGCCAAGTGGAGTGGATATCAGCTAACCAGGCCGTCCAAAACGGGCACTTCAGAAGTTCAAAACTTGGGAAGATGATGGGATGGGACTGGATTCCCAAAACATGGTGAATTGGAGGGGATATAAAATGGGATATTATGCATTAATATGCACAGAAAAAAACTTGACGTCTGCTGCAATTTGGGTGGTGACAAGTGAGTACATAGAGTTGGAAATAGATAGATCTGTAGTTAGCAGGCCAACAACCGGGGGTTGAGTTTGCTAACATACGATATTACATTACAAGGGATCTAGTAAAAGTCGATAAGAGCGCGTAGAAGCGTGGTATGGGAATCAGATGTGTAAGGGCTGGCGGGAGTGGACTTCTAAGCTAACTGGTTAATCGAGTGTTTATTACATGAGTTGAATAATACCAGGAGAGAAAGTGTGTGCTTGAGACATAGTCATCAGTCCCCTAAACACTGCTATCAGCTCTAATCTGTAGGTGGTGCGTAGCGATGAAGACTTTGGTGTCTACCACTGGGAGTCGTGAGTAGATGTATTCTCTGTTTGGATGACGGAATGGGCTTCGGTGCGGTGTAGCCTCTGTCCTGACGAGAGATGCAACTATACTCGCCGATATAGGCCATGGGCATTGCAGAGTATCTTCGAGCTATCACAAGTGAATTTTTAATTTTTTTGTTTTTCACATATGAGAGGTCAGTTTTTTCCATATGTGGTTTATGGCATTGCCAGTTGCATAACTCCACCGAGGCGACCGCAACACCAGCAGCAACAGACAGAAGTCAGCAGAACTTTTTTTGGTTTCCTAAATTAAGAAGTACACATACTTTTGTATCCAAAATCCTTGGAATTCCTCTGTTGAATTTGTCACCGTGAATATAGGCGTCACTAATTGCTGTGGCTTGGAGATTTGATTCTGTCGCAAGTGGAAATCTTGGTGACTCGCAAAAAAGGGCACCTATACTGCTATATCATGGTGGTCACATAGCTTTCTATGTCGCGTGGACAGAAGCACCGAACTAATATCACCCGATTCCGGCTTGTTCGTAGCCACACCAATCGGGTTGATCCATAGTCACCAAGCGACATCTGTGCAGTAAGCGTCACGGTTAGTTCATTTGAACAATTCGCTTTCAAGCGGAAGCATTATAAAAGCAGTTTCTAGTGTGCTCATAATGCTTGCGCTCAGCCAGTACCCTAAGATGGTGCAATCAGTTCGGTGTTTAATGACGGCGTTTATACTCTGAAACGTCAAATAGTGGGATGAAAATAGCCTATTTAAGTAGCTATACCCAGGGCTTTAAAAAACCCATCGCATGCATTCCTGTACCTTATAGGCTGTTATACACCGACGCCGCCGGATTGCGCGTGGCCAACCGACATTCTCGAGATAATGAAGAAAAATGCATCCCAAAAACAATTTAGCAATTTGCCTTGGTAAAGCACGTTCCTTTCAAGCGAACTGTAGCCAATATTATAGATCGATTGACGGTTCACAACAGGTGATACAATAAGCTTAAGACAATACTCTGTTTAAAATTTTCAACAAAGAGGCAGTCGAATATGCCCTCATACCTCCCAAGGTTGTTTCGCATACGATTCATGAACAAGCCAGCTTAAGGTGTTATGGTTATCTGCTTTCTGAACTTGAGTGACGCGTGCCAATCCACGAAATGGGCTATGAAATCCGGTTTCTGAAATCACGGCACTATTGCAAAGATAATACACACTCAACAAACCTCAACGGATTCTCCACCGCAGATACCCTAGGGTTACAAAGTAAGAGGGTACAATAACCAGCCTGAGGATAAAGCGCCGATCACTTCGCCTCAAATTCGGCATAGTCACAACAAAACGGATATCGACGCCAAACAACCGCAAAAACCACAATGTCCGACCGAAGTCCGTAAAAGTTACAAAAGTAGTTCAGTAAAATAAGAAAATTTCAGTTCATCTGGTGAAGGAGAATAAATATGGAGATTAGCTGGCACATGTGGTTGGGAACCTGTGCACATTGTTTGTAAGCTATCTTTTACATTATGATTGGTTAGCTGTGCACCATGCGGGAAGCGCGTGCGTTCAAACTTATGCACAAGCCAAGCAAAGGGCGAGTTGAATGACTGAAGCACATATAATTAAGGAAAGATAGAGTGTCTATGCAAACGAGACTTTGCATGAAACAATTTAAAGAATATGTTCCAGGAAATCTCCGTTTCTCTGTGTGAAGTATATACAATTCGGCGTTCTCAAACTAAATACGTGAACCTAGCTTCACGAAACCTATCTACCTTTATTAAGCTGCCTCTGTCCACCTCTCTTTTCGTACAGCTAGCCAACAATTTCTTTAGCTGAAATTCTGCAGGAACTCGACATATGTTATCTTCGGAAATCTCAATTCAAACCTAACCAGATATATGCAAGACCTTTCGTAATCAAAACTTTACGTTGCATTCATCTTAGTTGATCATATTTTTGTGCTGTATATTGCTGTCAGCAAAGGCAGAAGTGTACTGTGAAGAAACGTGCGGACTGGTACTGTCGAAAAAGTCCGGCGGCGTCCACCGGATTTGAATCGCAAACAGATCGGCCACTGCGTCCAAGTTTATCCCACCAGCTCATCAAGCTACGAGCAGCCGTTGATGGGGACATCTGGCAAATGCCTAAGCAATCGGCTAAGGTATGTTCGGGTATGGATCTCGTGCCTCTGTGCGGCCAATCATTTGCTTGAATTTGTGCCTGAATAAATTTATGGATTATTTTCTAATTTTTGCACTTCTTCTGCTGCATCCATTGAGTGCGGAATTTTACCAGTGTCTGTTTGGAAAGCAAGTGATTTTGTCCCTGATCAGAATCTGTTGTTTTAGCACTCTGAGGCATGGATTCACTTAGCGGACCATTGTTCCGGACAGTGGAGCCCATCTTGAAATTATTGCTCCAAGGAATGACAAGTACATCTTCGACGTTTTTGCATTAATTATTTGGTGGTTCTGGGCCGTGGCTGGTCAGTACGTGTAATCGAGGTGAAGAAAAGTCCAATACACTGAAGCTTTGAAACACTGACAAAACGTAGTAGGGTTTCACGAGGCTGAACCTGGTGAAAAATTTGGGCGCAACTCCACCATGTCACTTTGTACACGTCGATCAAACAAAAATCGTCAGAAGAGATCTGAAATGTGTTTTCTCTGAAGCCTTGGAGATCATCACACATCGGAGAAAACATTAAAAATCACCCATCATGTTGCTTAATGTAGGTGGTGCGTAGAGTTACACGACACTAGTAGAAACGACGGGCGGACATGGAAATAGAGTGCAATAAACGGCATACCGATCATGGCCCGTAGGATGGAAGACTGACCTTTGTGAAAGTTTCCGCAACCACAACGATGCGCCTATCTATACGGGGTGTGCGTACGCTAATTGTGCATTACGTGAACTTTGCTTTAATTGGCACTGTACATGGTACTGGACCTGGTAGCGGACCAAAATTTTGACCAACTAGTATCCAGTTCACTGCAAAAATCCTTTAAAATTTCGCGTAGAGCCCTGGCACGTCGGATAATATCGCTGCGCACTTTTTGGCTCGAATCTTGCACTTTTGCAACTTCCAATGAGTGCTAATGGAGAAGTAAGTGGATGGATTCGATCAGATGTTAACCTCAGTGGTTAGTGCGACTTAGTCTTTCTATATCTTCAATGAGTAGCCGAGGAACTTTTCCAAAATTTCATCCTTTTTTCACGGCTTTCAGTACTGCACCGGCTAAGCATCAATTTTCAAGGTGTGGTACTATTATTTTGCCGTAGTAGTCGGTGACTGACTGTCGGTAACCGTAGCCTACAATAATTGTGATACTTCCACATTGTTCTGGCAGCTATTTTTGCTATTTTCGCATTCTAGAATCACCAATCCCTATTTCCGCGCCCACTCTGGTTAGTTAGCGTCATATTTCCGGGAAAATTATTCCCGTTTTTTTATAGAGTTCGGTGACACTCGTCGCCTTGCTTTACACTGGCCGACTGATGAGTCTATTCGATCCAACCAATCAGAGCGCTGATTTCCTGAGGCTGACCATTTCAGGGTGGGCTGTTTGCTGACTACGACGGAAAATAATGTCTACAGGTGAGGTCCCTCCCAGTGTTACTTTAATCTGTCGAAAGAGAACGGTATTTATGAAGGGCACAGTTACTTTTAAGTACCTTTCGTCCAAAAGCAACTCGCGGCCACCTTGTTTGAAGATTCTATGTGGGAGCGTTTTCTGGCCGGCTTGTTTTAAGCCACGGCGAACGCGAAGCTATAGATCGCATGGTCTGTGTAAATCGCTCCTCAAATACCGCGTCCGCCTAATCAGGACCAATCCTATCAGACGAAATTTTGGAGTTCAACCCTGAGGATAACTCCCACGAACTAATCCCAGTTGTCTACATCCATTTAGCCCATTGAGAATGCATCCTCGAACTTTTCAGGGGCTTATTATTTGGAACACGCCTGCTGGATTTGCCCTTGGTTAGCAGTTCGGCCAGTGCTATGGTTATCTCGCTCCAGTAATCGTTGAATGAGTTGGATTCCATAGGTTGTGATTTTGCGTGTCCCCTGAATTGCCGAATGAGGTGTGCGTGTTCTTCGTAGCCATTAAAAATTCAACAAAAACACGAAGCGGATAAGTGCATGGTCGGGGCCACAGGTATCCAATCGTCGCCATCTGTACCTGATGATAGCGTGGTCTGTTTGAGTATGGAGCTTCTTTGTTGCTGGGCAACACGTAGTCAAACGGTCCCATCTGTTACGGGGACTACTTCTGTAAAGGGACATTCGGTAATCAAAAGGAAGTATATATTGTGCCTGGGCTAGCTGGGTGATATAGGAACTTGATGGAACTTATTCTGTCGCATTTGATAGTCCAAGTATTTGAGTGGGGAAAACCCTAAAGAAAGAAGACAAAGACATCGGATGAAGATTGGTTATATTACAAATAAATCAATCGAAGAAAGATCTCTGGGGTTCAGTTGGCTACAACAGAAGGAAAATGGGATCTCTGTTATAAACGGAGTATCGATTCTGATTGAGCGCGAGAACAAGACCGAATAGGTAGATTGAATGGCAGCTTAGTTATCTAGGAATAGACGTACGTGTGCTGAAACTGAAGGCGAAAGCATGGTTACTACGAAAGGACAATGTGAACACAAAGAATGGTCATGAGGTTCACACGGGCCGTTGGATTGTGTGTAAAGAGGTGTAACTCGGACACAGGTACTGAATGAATGAATAAAAAAATCTACTAAGGGGTAATGATAAGTGTGATTAGGGTTTTCGGTTCCCTAAAATGTAGGGCCGCGTGCACTGCTTGAGCCTGGCTAAATCAGATATTCCGGGGTCATATGTATTTGTAGGTGCAGCTGCATCGCCCGGACACGGGGGTGAAATTGAAGTATGATCGGTATTATCTCCAGTGTTATTGAGCGGAGGCGCGTGCAAGTCAGACAGAAGGGGTGCATAATCGCCATTGTCTTCACTGGGTGAGGTACGCGTGAAATCGTTGACATGTGTGCGATCACTACAAGGAGCGAGATGGCGGACCGATACAGTGCCTTCTTTTCCGCCGGGAAAACGAACATGGGCGTAATGTGGATTGCAATTTATGGGTTCGATCCCCTCAACGACTGGTTCGTACTCAGTAAAACAGGTTCTGGAATAGTTATCCAAGTTGGTATAGACAAGGAAAGGTATGCACAAGGAAAGGCAAATGGAAAAGGAAAAACTCGTCACCGATAGTAAGGAGATATCGGTTTCGACTAATAGAAGGCAGACGTTCTTTAAGATCGATGCAGAATGGTTGAGTCGCTTTGATAAGCATAGCGCAGGTGGTTTATGAAATTGCGGTTTGATGGCAGCCTAAACCGTGCATTTTTTGGTGACGTGTTTGACATTTTGGAGGGAAAATGACAGATTTTTTGGAAAGAACAAAGTGGTGCATGCGAGTAGTTCCGGGATGACACAATGAAGGATGAATTTCTTCTACTTTTCGTTGGTTGTTGATCAGATGGCTGTTGATCTGTTCGCCGAGCTTGGCAATTGGCTTGCAAACGTTTCGTCACCATACGAGGAGACATCATCAGTGCGCAGTTGGGTGGGTACTTCTTCCTTGCCTGCGTGTGCTACTTTTCATTGCGGATCACATTGGTGCGTAGGTGTTAGCCACCAGCTTGTCTTTTCCAGGTCTGTAGCTGACATCATAGCTAAAAGCAGCGATTTCCATTTTAAATCTTTGGGTTTTACTGTTTTTTTATATCTTATCTGCGACACCGTACGTAAAGGAAACGGACCGTTGGTCAGTGATAAGCTTGAAGTGTTCCCCGAAAAGATAAGGCTTGCATTTACGGATAGATTCAACGATGGCATATGTCTCTTTCTCAGTAATAGGCTGATTTTTTCCCCGGTGTCAGTGTCCTGGAAAAAGGCCATCGGTCGGCCGTTCTGAGCCAGAGATGGAGCAGTGGCTATGTCTCGACAACCAGGGAGGTGTTGTAGTCGACAGTCACAACCATAGCGTTTTCTAACTCCTTTAAACTTTCGAAGGACTGTTGTACACGCTCCGGTAAGGGGAAAGTCTTATTTCTGACAAATACACTGTTTTTGTCAGAGAAGTATGGTATCCATTGTGAATAATAGGCAAACATACCAACAACTCATTGGGATTTAGCGTCATGTGGGTTAGGGGTGGACAAATAGAGTCCATTCATCCAGGATCTGGTTTAATAATTCCTTTAGAGACCTCATAGCCGAGAAGACCTATTTGTTTGGTTGCTATGATGCTTTTCTTTCAGTTAAGGGTAATTTCATATTTTCTCATTGTTTCAGAGAAAGGTTTGAGGTTTTGGTCATGCTCACTTTGGGCAGTCCCACAAATAGGGATGTTGTGGATATGAGCGAATGTGCCCCTTAGGTTCTCAGTCTTATTTATATAGTCAATAGTACGTTCGCAGAACGCTACTCCGTTGTAAACACTGAAAAGAGAACGACGGAACTGAAGCAAGGCTCCATACGCTTCAAAAGCGGTATACGGTTTGTCCTTCTCACTGGTTGGAACTTGATGGTGTGCATTCCCGCCATGCTAACGACAGCATGGCAGGAAATTTCTTCAATCGTTTTATGCAGTCGCGGTAACGGTTACGCGTTTAGGTAGGTAAACCGATTAGTGGTTAGACTGTAGTCCACTACCATGCGTCTTTTGTGTTTGAATTTTTCGTGCCCAGTACTTGAGCCCTCCAGGGAGAATTCGAAGGTTCAATTATATCTTTATCCATTAGTCGATTCAGAGCGGATAAACTATTCATTGCCAGTGCTATAGCGCCGCGATTTCGTGGCAATAGGCTTGCAATTAGTTGAGAGGTTAGTAAAAAGAGGAGGGGATTCAACCGTAACAGCAGTTAGACCGCAGAGCGTGAATGGACCTCGGTTCCCACCAAATGTGATTTCAACTTTTTTTTATGTAGACCAAGGAAGTCTTGGCCTAGCAGTACATCAGCACATAAATTGGGCAACACCAGTAATTTGATTTTTTGTAAACAGTACCCCTGTGATCAGTGGATGCCTAGAGTAGCCGTTAGTTGAAGACGGTAGAGAGGTAGGTGCCATGGTAACCACAGAATCGTTAGCATATATCTTCCAGTCATGTGTACGAACTACCAAAGGAGATATATAACTGCTCGAACTTCCTGTGTCCATGAAGGCCTGAAGTGATGTTCCGTTTACCTTTGTGCTGTTCACCGTGCGGGACAAGCAGTTCGGGGCTGTAGCAGTCAACAGGGAAGATAAGGCAGAATCCGTCGTGCAATTTGGGTGATTTTTTGCAAATTTGGATTGACAAACGCTGAAAATGGTCTGTTCTGCCACATAATTTACAAACTGCTTCACTTTCGGGGTATTTGAATCGTGGATGCCTGGAACGATCGCAAAAATAACGTATCTGTGAATTGATTGACGAGAGATAAGGTGTGGAATCAGAGGAGGTTGATTGTGAAGGAGTAACCGTAGATATCTCTAAAGGCGGTGTAGCCCTAGAAAATGATATTGGTTGCTTATGTGAGCATGACTAAGCTTGTTTGTGGGCCGATTCTTAGGACCTAGCCGATTCATTTGCTTCATCGTGAGTGAGTTCATTTTGAACCAGAAGTCTTTCTCTGATGGTAGCAGACTGGAGTCCGTTGATCAGAGCATCACGTACGCTTTTGTTTTGGTAACCAATCCCGGATACCGCCTTGGAATCACAATTTTAGGTCAAACATTTAAGCCTCTGAACAAACCGATCAACATCTCGACTGGTGTCTTGTTTGCAAGCTTATAGAAGATGATGAACGTAAATTATATTCCTAGGACGAACGTGCAAAATTTGAAGTGTACTGATAGCGTATTCGTGCTTGGGACAGTCACCGAACTTATACAGATGCTTCCACAAAATGGATCGAGGTTTTGAGTTTTTTTTAGGTAAGGCGGTTCGACAGTGCCCAAAAACGTTTGAAATGTTCGGAACCAATGATTCCAACGCAGTGTGACGCCTGGAGGATTTGGATCTGTGTCCAAATACTTGGGTCGCAGCAACGGTTCCTTTACGTTCTTAGACAAATGAATTCTTATAGACGGATTATCGATTCTGATTGAGCACGAGAACAAAACCGAATAGCGTAGAATGAATAGCGCTTTACTTGTCTAAGAACAGACATACATAAGCGGAATGTGAAGGCGAAGGCATGGTTAATAAGAAAAAATCTGAACATAGAGGATAGTCATGGCAGTCTCTGAAATATTACAGAAAGGTAGAATTCTTTTAAGATCTAACCATCCTTACGGTATATGTCAGTGCATTGAAAACCCACTGTGCGGGCAAGAGTAGTTGGTCCCCTTGCTTGCTTCAAGGTTTGAACACAAAGGACAGCTTAATTGACCGGCTTTTCGGGGTTTGGAAATTGATTTCGGGGTTTTCAGGGCCGTAAACGGAGACGGATTTGGAGAGGTTGATGCTGAGGGTGAAATTTAGCGTGGGCACTGACCTTGAAGCCTGGTGGACACGAAAAGCTAAGGAGATGGATGAGTTTTGTTTAGTGCAACAGAGATTTTACTCGAGAAATGTGTCTGTCGCCAGAAAGTGTGGTTAGATCGTTTATTGCATCCACTATCGAAGAGAGTGCTGTTTTCTAGTGCCAAAGCGTAGTTGCTGCCAACTTCCAACCTGGTTTACTGTTATAAAAGTAATTACGATAAGTCTGGGTGCTATCGATTCGGCTCTTTTTCCGGGATGAGATACTTTCTATTCTGCGTGGTTGGAGACACCGCAAAATGTAGCCGCTTATCAATGTCATTGGCGGTGTTGTTATCAGCTTCTTCCCTGTGTGTCTGAATGAGTGTCTGGAGGTGTGGACAATAAGTCCCTTTTGCCTTGGTTTTCATTCTTTTCCTTACAAATTCACAGTTGTACGGCAGCGAATCATCAGTGTTGAGGACTGATATTGTGTTATCGATTATGATGATGATGTTGTTGTTGTTGTGTTGTGGATATGAGCGAATGTGCCCCTTAGGTTCTCAGTCTTATTTATATAGTCAATAGTACGTTCGCAGAACGCTACTCCGTTGTAAACACTGAAAAGAGAACGACGGAACTGAAGCAAGGCTCCATACGCTTCAAAAGCGGTATACGGTTTGTCCTTCTCACTGGTTGGAACTTGATGGTGTGCATTCCCGCCATGCTAACGACAGCATGGCAGGAAATTTCTTCAATCGTTTTATGCAGTCGCGGTAACGGTTACGCGTTTAGGTAGGTAAACCGATTAGTGGTTAGACTGTAGTCCACTACCATGCGTCTTTTGTGTTTGAATTTTTCGTGCCCAGTACTTGAGCCCTCCAGGGAGAATTCGAAGGTTCAATTATATCTTTATCCATTAGTCGATTCAGAGCGGATAAACTATTCATTGCCAGTGCTATAGCGCCGCGATTTCGTGGCAATAGGCTTGCAATTAGTTGAGAGGTTAGTAAAAAGAGGAGGGGATTCAACCGTAACAGCAGTTAGACCGCAGAGCGTGAATGGACCTCGGTTCCCACCAAATGTGAGGAGGGGATCCGTAACAGCAGTTAGACCGCAGAGCGTGAATGGACCTCGGTTCCCACCAAATGTGATTTCAACTTTTTTTTATGTAGACAGACCAAGTCTTGGCCTAGCAGTACATCAGCACATAAATTGGGCAACACCAGTAATTTGATTTTTTGTAAACAGTACCCCTGTGATCAGTGGATGCCTAGAGTAGCCGTTAGTTGAAGACGGTAGAGAGGTAGGTGCCATGGTAACCACAGAATCGTTAGCATATATCTTCCAGTCATGTGTACGAACTACCAAAGGAGATATATAACTGCTCGAACTTCCTGTGTCCATGAAGGCCTGAAGTGATGTTCCGTTTACCTTTGTGCTGTTCACCGTGCGGGACAAGCAGTTCGGGGCTGTAGCAGTCAACAGGGAAGATAAGGCAGAATCCGTCGTGCAATTTGGGTGATTTTTTGCAAATTTGGATTGACAAACGCTGAAAATGGTCTGTTCTGCCACATAATTTACAAACTGCTTCACTTTCGGGGTATTTGAATCGTGGATGCCTGGAACGATCGCAAAAATAACGTATCTGTGAATTGATTGACGAGAGATAAGGTGTGGAATCAGAGGAGGTTGATTGTGAAGGAGTAACCGTAGATATCTCTAAAGGCGGTGTAGCCCTAGAAAATGATATTGGTTGCTTATGTGAGCATGACTAAGCTTGTTTGTGGGCCGATTCTTAGGACCTAGCCGATTCATTTGCTTCATCGTGAGTGAGTTCATTTTGAACCAGAAGTCTTTCTCTGATGGTAGCAGACTGGAGTCCGTTGATCAGAGCATCACGTACGCTTTTGTTTTGGTAACCAATCCCGGATACCGCCTTGGAATCACAATTTTAGGTCAAACATTTAAGCCTCTGAACAAACCGATCAACATCTCGACTGGTGTCTTGTTTGCAAGCTTATAGAAGATGATGAACGTAAATTATATTCCTAGGACGAACGTGCAAAATTTGAAGTGTACTGATAGCGTATTCGTGCTTGGGACAGTCACCGAACTTATACAGATGCTTCCACAAAATGGATCGAGGTTTTGAGTTTTTTTTAGGTAAGGCGGTTCGACAGTGCCCAAAAACGTTTGAAATGTTCGGAACCAATGATTCCAACGCAGTGTGACGCCTGGAGGATTTGGATCTGTGTCCAAATACTTGGGTCGCAGCAACGGTTCCTTTACGTTCTTAGACAAATGAATTCTTATAGACGGATTATCGATTCTGATTGAGCACGAGAACAAAACCGAATAGCGTAGAATGAATAGCGCTTTACTTGTCTAAGAACAGACATACATAAGCGGAATGTGAAGGCGAAGGCATGGTTAATAAGAAAAAATCTGAACATAGAGGATAGTCATGGCAGTCTCTGAAATATTACAGAAAGGTAGAATTCTTTTAAGATCTAACCATCCTTACGGTATATGTCAGTGCATTGAAAACCCACTGTGCGGGCAAGAGTAGTTGGTCCCCTTGCTTGCTTCAAGGTTTGAACACAAAGGACAGCTTAATTGACCGGCTTTTCGGGGTTTGGAAATTGATTTCGGGGTTTTCAGGGCCGTAAACGGAGACGGATTTGGAGAGGTTGATGCTGAGGGTGAAATTTAGCGTGGGCACTGACCTTGAAGCCTGGTGGACACGAAAAGCTAAGGAGATGGATGAGTTTTGTTTAGTGCAACAGAGATTTTACTCGAGAAATGTGTCTGTCGCCAGAAAGTGTGGTTAGATCGTTTATTGCATCCACTATCGAAGAGAGTGCTGTTTTCTAGTGCCAAAGCGTAGTTGCTGCCAACTTCCAACCTGGTTTACTGTTATAAAAGTAATTACGATAAGTCTGGGTGCTATCGATTCGGCTCTTTTTCCGGGATGAGATACTTTCTATTCTGCGTGGTTGGAGACACCGCAAAATGTAGCCGCTTATCAATGTCATTGGCGGTGTTGTTATCAGCTTCTTCCCTGTGTGTCTGAATGAGTGTCTGGAGGTGTGGACAATAAGTCCCTTTTGCCTTGGTTTTCATTCTTTTCCTTACAAATTCACAGTTGTACGGCAGCGAATCATCAGTGTTGAGGACTGATATTGTGTTATCGATTATGATGATGATGTTGTTGTTGTTGATGATGATGATGATGATGATGATGATGATGATGATGATGATGATGATACAAGGCGTACGTAGCCGACAGTCCTAGTTGTGGGTCGTGGTGGGGGAGAAGAAAGAATTAGTGAGAGTGCAAGTCGGAATAGTTCAGCGGCAGGATGCTTTCGTTTACCTGCCTTGCCGTCTGTACTGAACCGAATGATGGCACAACGCGGCGGCCAATATGATATGACAATTATCAATTGTGGATTTCAGGTTTGTGTACCGGATGGAATACCGTCCGGACGGTAAGGCAATTGGGGCCGTCACCCATAATAACCACTACAAGAGACCAGCCGCACGGCCGTGGCTAGGTACTGGCGTATTGCCATATTTGTATGGGTTTTTAAGAAACAGTCTGCCGTATACGCCTCAACCTCCAGACTGGAAGGCAAGAAAATGGTATTTATCAGTTATGCATTCATTAATCAAATTTCTGTTAGAAACTCCGTGAGTATCAGAAGGAACTCCCATTATTAATCAGCGGGTCGCAAGGGTAAACAAACTAGCGCACCGTGTGTCGAAAGCGGAGCATGGTTCCTCTAAAAATATGGTTCACATCATGCACCCGTTTCTCACATCTGATTCATTTATTGTAGGATTCCAGTTTGGCTTACCAAGCACGACTTCCTCAGGTGGAAGCACTGGGTTTTCCTTTGGCACCACCGGTTTTGGCTCTTCAACAGGTTCTGCCCAAACCACAGCAACTTCTCTGCCGGGTCTGTCAACGGCTGCTTCAGGTTCCAGCGTATTTCCTTCACTCGGTTTGAGTTTATCTAGCCCTTTTGCGTCGGCCAGCACTACAACATCTGTGCCTCAAACCACAGCGGCGTCGCTTGGCCTTAGTTTTCAAACGACAAAACCTGGTTTGGTATTTGGTACAGCAGCCACGCAACCTTCTACCTCCGGTTCGTCCACACCAACAAGCTTTATGTTCGGTGCGCCCGTTTCTCAACAAGCGAGTTTGGCGGCACCTGTCTCAACACAAGGCGCCTCAACGGCTGCAGGTAGTCTTGGTGGATTTTCTTTTGGTTTGCAAACGGCGAAGACTCCTGGATTCGGTCAGTCCACATCTGTATCTTCAGCTTTGCCGTCGTTTGGAGCGTCTAGTTTTATCCACTCGGGAACTACCACTAGTGCACCCTTGCCATCTTTCGGTGCTCTCTCAGGCACCACTTCCACCGTTACTGGACTTTCATCTACACCATCCCAAGCGCCCCTTGGAATATTTTCCCAACCGTCAACCTCTGCCTCGTCTTTATTCAAGGCAGTAACTTCGACTGTTCCTGCTGTTCCTTCCGCTCCTATCACTTCGGTTGGCTCTATTTCCCAGACGTTGGCTGGTTCAGTAACACAAGCATCTACTAGCTCTGTTAGCCTGGGTTTCACTTTGCCATCGGCCATACCCTCCACGACTGATGCATCCAAACCAGCTATTGGTCCTTTGTTCGGGAAGACAGAAGCGTCTGCCTTGAAAATAACCCCGACTACTAGTACTACTCTGGCTCCTGTCCCTACGGTTGGCGGAACTAGCGTCCTTGGCCTACCCACAGTTAGCTCTACGACAACGGCGACGACATCGGCACCTACTTCGCAGACTACAACCAGTGTTGCGTCAGTGACTAAACCGTCTACACTGACTTTCCACCAACTTGAAGAACTTGTTAACAAGTGGGCACATGAACTCGAAGATCAGGAACGATATTTTATGGATGAAGCGGAACGAATCAGTCAATGGGATCAAGCGCTGATGAGTAACGGAGAAAAAATTACAACGCTGTACGAAAAAGTCGACGCATGCAAGCAGGAACAAGCACAGTTAGAACAGGTAACCGTACATTTTCGTAATCTCAATGTAGAACATTCCGAACCACTAACTGTATGTTTGAGCGTTGGTGGCCTTATATTCAAAGTTTTTATACCACACTCCTAGAGTTCTAACATTCCACCAGAGCCTTTTGGTGTTCTTTGTGTGTGTTCAAACTGTGCCACCATAGTGTCAATGGATTGAGCAAAGTGATCCCGAGTTGACTTTCGACGAAGATTGTCCTCATGGAGCACTTCGTCCCTTAGGTTAGTCTCACATGTGTCTAGAGACTAAACAGGTACTAAACGCAAGGAAAGTTGCTTGGAGCCAAGCAGTCATCAATTACGTTAATTAACTGGCAAAACAATAAGAGTGGCCTTTCAATCACTGGCGAGGTTATCAGAGGACGAAATACCTGCTTAAAGAATATTTGGTATTGCGGGGTCCCCAAGACAATACAAAACCGTCTCACAAACGACCGCAACTACTGAAAGTGTCGTTTCATCTGATGTGAAGCAGTCTTGTGTGTTCCGGTGTCTGCCGCTGATCTATGTTCTAATTCATTGCATGAGCCAAAATTAGAGTTTCCGGATGTATGTTTCCATTTGACCTACTTCGAGCATAACATATGTGTTTCATGAAATTGGAAGCCTTTAAACAGGAGCATTCTTTACTACGGCACTGAAAACCTGGGCGGGAGCATATGCAAACAGAAACTGTTGTTGTATCGTAGGTAGCACATCTGAGTTCGTCCAGATGAACTAGTTATTTATCTGTGAATTTCTATCCTCATTTCAGTTGTTATCACCAGTTCCTTGGCTTGCCATTATAATCTAATGAAAACAAAAGATAAAGACTCGAATTCGACCGTAGTATTGTTGCACAGAGACTTTCGACGGCGTGCTAATGTACTTTGACCAGTCAGTCTTCCGTCCTGGGAGTAAGTATACCTGATGCATAAAACGTTCAGTATGGTGATTGCAATTACTACAAAGTGCGAATGCTGCGCTTGCCCAAAACAGTCTAATGAACTCGATCGGTATTGCGAAGGTCTGAGTTTGCGAACCACCAACCCTAATTCCTCTCTTCATGACTGAAATTCCCAACTGTGGGGGAATTTCACACCGGCTAAGAACTACTGGTGCGTTTGCGAGTGTGCGTGAATTTCAGAATTGTCACTGTTTTGTCTAGGCGGTTGGTTACGACCCATGTCTCGCCCCGCGAACTCCGATGCAGCCAGGCGACGAATCGCCTCCGTCATTGCCTTTGATGCATGACTCTTGTCTGTTGACCGCTCCGGTGAATTTGTGCCTCCTTTTTTACCCCCTCAGACTTAATATTACGATTTTTTACCAGGGTATTCAAGGTGATAGCCCAGTAAAGCCCTTCTTTTTTAGTGGTAGATGTCAGACGTACCACGTATGTCTGACTAATCTTATTCAGCACTGTCTGTGTCTTTTACACCCTAATACGATGACCTTTCGTGACAACTGATTTTGTGTATCCCTTAGGCGCAGTTTTGCGGTTCTTTTCTCTCTTCTGGTGATCTTTGTGCTATGGGAGGCTGTTGACTACCCGAAAATGTGCTTTAATTTCGTAACCCTGGAGATTTTTCCGGATGACATCTAAGGTACCTTTTCTGTTGGGAGTGTGTGTAAACAGCTTGCTTCTCTTTCAGCCTTCTGACATGGTATCAGTCCTTTGTAATTGTTGTCTGGTTGGTCGGTTAAGGTAACTCGTCTTGTAATACTTCGATAGGTGGATTTACTTCTGTTTCAATGAGTGCTTGAATACAGGTTAATTGCTTGATCACTCGGAGAACTGAAGACAAAACGGGATGAAATGTGGATGTGCAGGCCCACAATTTATTAAACTATCTTGTTTTTCGTGGGTACCCAAGGTCAACTCACGGCTTTCATTTACAGATGGGGATCAGTAGAAATAGCATTTGTCCGACTTGATTCTCCTTGGGAAACTGCATTTTGGTACGTTGCTCGTTTAAACTACCCTGAAAGGTTTTTGATTAAACGCCATTACCTAAAAAGTACACATAGGGATATTAGGTATGTTTTTTCCGAAACCACATAAGTGTAAGCAGACTTGGGGAACAAATGAACCCAACCTCTCAATGACGATATTTCTTTGGCTGATGACGAAATGCAGGCGTTGTCGACTTGGACAAGGGACAGCCGATTCGACCTCAGCGCAGCGTCTTTTGGACCGAATCGGCTGGCAACCTGGAAACAGTTGTGATCGTGGTTGATTCTGGAAGGCTATTTTCCCCTCATTCACAACTGGCCGGCTAAAATTCATCCCTCGTAATCTGTTTTGCGCAATACCGCTGGACATACTAGCACATATCTTGACAACACGTCTAAATGAACAGAATGTTTCCTTCAAGACTTAGTTCATCGTGCGCCGAGCCACTTCGTTTAACCGGCCTTTAAACTATGCATTCCACTAGTCAATTTCTACCGACTTGTTCAAGTTTTGCTTCAGTCCTTGACCCGGATACAGTAAATTTTACGAGGAAAGACCATTTGAGACAGGATGATCGAGCAGGTTAATCCCTTTTCAGTCCACTGTAGGAGTTATCATACATAGCGAGGACACTCCCCATCTGCCAAGCACGCTCATTTCATTTTTCCTCATGGTCACATTTCACCTTTGAATAGACGTCAAGAGTAACACAAATGGGGCCGTATTTTGTAAGGTGATTCCCTATTTTACTGACCGCGTCGGTGCGCAGACTCACCAATCCTAGCACTCTAGTTTCCTCATTGTCCGAAGTTCGCTTGGCATACCTAAATGGTACACTATTGTTACTCACTTTTGGAAGTGGGCGTATTCGTTCGCACTAATTTCTTTGCCTAAAAATGGATGAATTCCCACACATAAGGAGCCGATTTGCATGTCATTACCTCGAACGACAACCTCTAGAAGCGCAAAGTCATTCTTATTGTGGACTGGATGTTGCACGTATGCCAATCAGATTGAAGTGCACTTTTTTTCGATAAAGCCGTTGAAACAGCCAGCCAGTAAGACCGCTGGAGGACTCAGCACACCAGACTTCGAAGTGAGTATTTGGTGACGAAAATCAATTGGTTGAGATGTATTGTTCCGCATCATACCTGAATGCCAACTTGAAAGCCTTGAGTCTTGATTAGACGGAAGCCACCCGAAGCCTCTGGCAAGGGGAAACTTCTTAGTAGTGAATTTCGTTCGCAAGTGCAAACGGTAATCATGGCTCCTACGCAATTGTAAAACATGCTTAATCAGTTTGTCCTGATGTGGGTTATGGACATTTGTTGAAAGTTAGAATCGTGTGATACATACTTTCTACAGTGCAGGGTGGGGGGCGGTGGACGTCTTTCTGCAGCTGGAACCACAAGGTAATGCAAACTTCATTGGACTAGCAAAAGCCTGCTTCTTTTTAGAGGTGCACAGTTGTGGACCCGAAAATGTTCATCGCCGTATTTTCTCATTTCTTCTCGTTCTGTCATCCACGAACCGGAATGTTTCACAAACTTTTGTCTAGATTAGTTCGTTACGTCGCGTTTTAAATATACTGGAATTTATACCATTGTTGGTTCGTGAGATGTTCATTATCGCGGTTTGACGTTCCCTTCGCCTTCTTCAGGAGCTTGATTTCATAGACGGTCACCAAAAGGAGCTTGAAAAGCTCCTAGAAACGCTTGAACGGACTGCGGAGGAACTTCCTCCGGGCCAACTTCACTCAGACTTTGAAAGAGAATCCATATTCCAGTTGGCAACCAACGTAGATTTAGAACTGGGACAACTTTTGTCTGACTTGCGAGAAATGGCAGATCAAGTCAACTCAGCCACATCCAAAGTTTCGGGCGGAGCAGCCTTGGCTAGGAATACACATGATGTGAAGGCTAAAGACGGTGGACTGTCGAAAATTCTTGGTGGTGCAGGTCAACCTGAAGAGGGAATTGGGGCCATGCATCAAGTCACACGAATTTTGAACTGCCATATGCACTCACTAAATTGGATTCACCAGAACACACGTAAGTCTCGACCGGATGGCATATTTTGTATGTTCTTTGCATTTTTCGAAGTGTGTCTTCCGTGGGACAGTTATTTACAAAATCAAATCAAACATGGGCTTCATTTTTTCCAAACCTGATGACTGCCGACCTGATTGCTGACTAAATAGTTTTAGGATAGTAACTTTGAACAGACGCTGACGCTTTTGCTAACTGTCAGTTCATTCAACTCCTCGTTTAGTCTATGTTCCTCAAAATTAGAACTCATAAGCCTTGTTGTATGAATACAGCCTCGGTCTTTTAGGGAATTTATCTATGGCCTATTGGTGATTCTGTTTTATATTGCCACGACTATATTCTTCAAGGTGGTAAGTGAGCTCTGCTAATGTTGCGGATTGAAACTGCCCGTAATCTATGATTTGCGGCGAAATTCGAGCAGTTTGCAATCTTTTTTGGTTTCTATTGGCACAGACTAGAGATCAAGATTTCGTGCGTCTGATTTGACTCTGGTGTGAAACGTGTCCAGTTTAAATCGACAGTGCTAACACGAGCTTGGTCTGCTTGCCTGTTTGGCAAGAACAACAAGGAATGCTTGGGTACTGCCCCATCGCAAGGGTGATCATCCATTATGTGGCGCAAAAATTTGAGTTAGTACAGTTGCACAACTTAATGAAACGCATATTAGCAGGTTGTTGCAATCATGAATGTTGTTCCATTATCTGCCTTGTCTTGAAAATCTCGCTGATTAGTCGTGTGTCGCTTCCAAAGTTGTATCTTCACTTTGGAGCATCGTAAATTCCTGATATGCTGTGTCAGGCTGATTTCCACTAGTTTGTGTAGTGAACTGCCTCGCGCTAGATTTTTGTGAAAATTAGGCCTGGTTCACACGAAATCAAGACTGATACATTACGAGGGTTGAGTGTGCCTAATCGACTGTGCAGCTCTGCCTTTTTATTATATGATCTCTTGAGTGTACGTAGCTTCTTACTGGTCCAAACCTGACTGATCGTCTGTTATGTTGAAGACCGGTTTTCATGTTGGACGAAATTTCTCTAGCTAACCTCGACATCTGCCATGTATTGGCAGAATTCTCCCCAGAATTGTTTCTTTTCCTTTTAATTTTTAACCTTCTGGTGCATTTTTTACGTTCTGTCTGCTTCTGTTTTTCTTTTCAGAGGAATTGATGGAGCGAGTGAAGCTTTTGGAGGGTTCCTGAGCGTCCGCCTCTCCTAATCAATGGGTCTCTGTTTGGCTATGTTATTCCTCCTTAATACAGATTTTGTGCATATTCTCAGGTATTTTTAATGTCCTGCCTCCACACAGAGATGGGAGGTCCCGACAGATTGATTGCTTTTCTTTATTTAGTTGTTGTACTCGTTGCGGTTATTTGTGCCTCATGACTGTTGGACTGGCCGTGTAGTGAAGAGCAGATTTGGGAGATAAGCTATAGATTTCACTTCGCTGGAAGCCTTGGCAGCATTGTTCAGCTGGAGTTAAAACTATGACTGACGTTAACATTGACAGTTGACTTTGGACGATCGTATCGCATGTGGACCCAAATCACATATCACATGTCACATAGGCCAGTAACCGTCGAGTTCCTTTTTGCTCTAATTAATGATGCCAGATGAGTCCCAAGATGTGGGAGCCGTAGCTAGTTTCGCCGCTGGACCGGAAATGCGAGCTTGGACTTATCTCACTGTGTAAGTAGTTGCATTTAGATGCTGTTGAGCTGCTCTTAGCCAATAACCAACAACTAAATACGAGAACCAGAGAGCCCCTTAGATGAAGCTGTTTTGTATTTGACAGCATCCGATTTGGTGCACGGTATAATAAACGAGTGATCATGAAAGATAGCCTGATAGTTGATAGCCTTGGGAAGGCACTCTAGGTTTATCCGATTAGCGCAACAGCTGATTTACGATTTCCATATGTCAGACTTTACCGTCACTTAATAGTGGTGAAGATTTGCACCTTGTAACAAACCATGTGAAATCCGTCCAGAACTCTCAACTCGCACGAGTTTTCTGTTTGAACAGTCGTTGTTGGAGAAACCCGTTAGCGCACAATTGTGTAATTAAGACCGCGGGCCTGAATGGCGAGTGCTGCTCTATCCTAAGTGCGAGTTAGTCTCTGCTAACCAACCACCTGTGTTTCATTCACCAATCGAAATTCGATTCGTCTTAGAAATTAGGAACATGCACACTAATGATGATTCCTAGAAAAGGCAAAACAGGTGCGCACTGTCCCAACGCTTTGGGACTTCGCTCGCAGAGCAAAATTCTGGTTGGAATCATACCCCGTGGATTAGTTGACGAAGTCCAGGACCGGAATTAACATTTCTTACTCTGTGACTGAGCTAAATAGGATACTTTCGAGGGGCACTTCTGTGGGAAATTTTCTGTCACTCATTCTTGGGAGCATTTTTCCTTCGTTCACTTAGTTATCCTATCAGAAGTGGTCGTTTGGAAGCGCACCAACAGCGTATTCAATAGGAAGAATCTCCCTTCCTCAATCGCGGTGTCGTGTGGCTGTCGTTTAGTTGGCCTCCTCTAGGTCTCAAACAGCCATAACGTCCATTCAATAGTCATTTTACCGTATGCTAATACCAGCGGCGTGGCTGTCGTGTTCGTTGAAGACAGTTTGATGGACGAGGCATTGCCAAGGTATTACTCACCATGGTCTTTCTTTGGTTCCGGAGTGATCTAGTTCACACGGATGGTCAGATGGTCGTACCTATATCTTGACTTGCGGCATTCCGGGTTTTGGCAACAAAACTCACCCCAGTGTATCCAAACACGCCTCGTGTGTAACGAAATCTCAAGCTTTTTCAGTGCGTGCGGCAACTGACTTAGTAAATTGTACGCTTCTATTTCTGTTCTTAATGTAAGGCGTGTCCAGTAGCCTAACTGTCAAAAACGCTGTACAGACGCTGTTCGAAACTGTCATAATGTTCATTCCGCTACAAATCAAGCCTTGGACACGTTTCCAGGCGATGGCATGTTGCTCCCGAGGGTCTTGAATGTAGTAAAACAACCAGGGGGACTGTACTCTCATGCTATTAATTGGCCCGGACTGGAGAAATCAGACTTTCATTCCTGTGTTGTGTTTCTGGTAGTTGAGCATGATACAACTTTCGTATTAAGGAAACGGCAATTTCGTAACTCGAGTAGTGGACAGTTCTCGTCTGTCTAGACTGTAGTTGCTCTTGGGATGAACCATTGAGTAACAATGGGTGAAATTCCTACAGCAAACATATTACTGCAAACCAACCATAGGTGTTGGCATCCGAAAAGACCGTCCAAAGAGGTTGATAGCTGAGTGAACCTCAAGGAGTCTATCTGTCTAGGCTTGGGCAACCTGGCAGTATTTCAGCCCTGGTGCTTCCTTTGAGTGGTATGTCATCTAGGCACCGAAAGTGTTACAGCTGCACTACTGTCTACCAGAAAGTGTGCCTCAAAATGTCGACACTAGAGGGAGAAGCTGTACGTGTTAGTTGAATGTAACTAGTGTATCCCCAGGGGATGGTTCAACTGGTGGTTATTCTTAATGGCGAATCCACTTAAAGGGTTTGTGGAACGCCTCGGGTCTCTTATTTTGTACCACATGTGAAAACCGTTCTTTCAGCTCTCGATGGTAGAAAGAGTTTTCTCGATCCCATTGCTGGATAGGCTCACTGTACATATGACCTTTCGGGAATACATCGTTTGCAGATGGATCGCTGAATCTCTCGAACCAATTTATTATTTGTCTTGGAGCGAATTCGTTTCATACTGTTAATAGGCCGATTAAGCAACATATGTGTCAATTTTATCGGGCTTCAGCACACTCTGTGTACTGCTCCTTGAAAAAGCTGTACTTTCCGTTACCAACGATCACCGGAACTAGCACTCGCTCACAATTCGGTATGTGGCTCAGGTTTTTGTGTACCAGTAAGGTGCACGCACTAGAAGTTATCGACAGTAGTAGGCCATGCGGCTGCCACCTATAGTCCTCTGGCATTCCACAGGAATGCAGGAGTTGCCTGTTTTTGTTTGATGCACCCATCTCATCGCCTCCAGACTGTTTTCTTCATTCGGACGCTGGCACTCCGCATTTCTTTTGGTGGGGGACTCAGCGAAACTCTCCAGCTCATCTGCTCGCATTGAAATAGCAAACTTGACCTTGGGTTGATGCTTCGGCATATCCTGCTCATATAGGGTGATCTGTCAAAATTTACTATTTTGTAGTGCCGAATTCGGAGGTGCAGTTCTCACGTTCAGTGTAGGCGTATTTTTAATAAGTCGTAAATTTAAGTTCAGTTTTACTCGCCGTGGTACAACATCCTCGCTACTCCAAGTAGGTCTGATTTCCGGAGTGTCCTTTGTTAAACGTTTGTTCCTTCTGCTATTCATCAAGGTGCGCTGATTGCCTACCGACCCCCAATTAGCTTTGTTACTGCCTGAAATTATCCCATTTCAGCATGATGAATTCAGATAGATTATCGGAATCCAAGCCAGCTCCCCTCCCCACACAAGCCTCTCGTCGACTACATTGTCATCAGTCCGCTGTTCGAGCTGCTCGGTTCAACTCAGACGGGCAATACTGCGTCACTGCCGGTGGGGATAAAACTATCAAGCTATGGAACCCTTACAAGGACCGTTTGTTGAAGACGTACACAGGTCATGGTGGCGAAGTGTCAGATGCTCAGGTGATGTTTTTGGGTTATATTGCCTCCCCGTGATTGGTAACGTTTTCTGAATCAGAAACACAAGTGTTTCTCCCTTGCGTTTTGTCTTGTTCTATATTTTTTCCGTAACGGAATGCAGGTTTAAAAACCAACCTATAAGAACCAGCTCGTCTATTTTTCTAGTGTCTGGATGTTTTTATCTGTTTCCCAGTTTACTAGCCTGGGTCAGTTGGTCCACAAACTCTTTTCCCACGTTCACTATGCATATGACTAACCACAGATACTTTGGTACACAACTTGTACTTTGGCTACCAGTTCATGCCAATCATATTGTACGTAAACGGCACGCCAATCGTGAACTCAGCCCATTTACCAGCAAACAAGCGAGTAAAAACACATGGAGCCTGATAGGTCATTTTGTCCCTGCACTCTGATTGATTCGTAATTCTTGCCTGCAGTTGGTTGCTCAGTCGTCCAATCGAGATCCTTCCTCTGAAACTTATTTTCCTAACAGTTTTTTCCAAAAACGTATCAGAGGACTTCGGCTCAATACCCTATCTAAATGGTTTTCTCAATCCATTTCCGGGGATCTGACATTACTTCGATATGAAAATTGAAGAGAGCCGAGTCACTTTTATTCAAACAAGTAGTAAATAAATATATTTGATCAAACACTCACTCAACTTGTATTTGAGTGTGCCAACGTACGCTGATGTTGAACTATATCCTCTTCCCTTACATGAAAGGGGGGTTTCAGTTTTCTTATGCTATGACTATCCCCCTAGATGGGTGAAAATCACTAATGGTGCATCCCCCAGCTCTGGCACCAAGTAATTTCATTTTGTCTGGCCTGAATTATCCTACAACATGGAAGACTGATCTTACCAGGATGTTTCAGTTGCCGGTATCTTTTCGTACAAGTAATGTTTGTAAAGTTCGTAAAACCGTGGTGTATATCGTATCACCTAACCCTAATCTCACCACCTTCCCTGAACAGGCCAATTCGGACAACAGCCAGCTTGGATCAGGTGGTGCTGATTGCCTCGTTGTTCTCTGGGACGTGGGTACCGGACAATCTGTTCGACGCTGGCGTCGGCATGCGGGACGCGTGAACGCAGTCAGGTTTGCCGCACCGTTTCAGCATTCGGAATCTAGCCTCCCCAGTCCGATCCTTATCTCTGCTGGAGTGGACGGTATGGTATTAGTGTGGGATGCCCGAGCCAAAACTCCCTACCCCGTTCAGGTAACTCTCACTAAGTCGTGAATATTTTCCGCGCGATTCACTGATCTTGATTATAGATCCGTTCTACAGTTTTTTCAACTCACAACTTGCGAACTTCAACCCAAAGCATTTATAGATCTGCCGACGTTCAAACTTGTACTCTTGATACCTTGCCTCGTTCATCTCATTGCTGGTATAATTATGATGACTAACGAATCTGCCCAATGTGAGGCTCCTCCGCTGTCCTCATGGACGTACAAACACATGCACGCAAGCGGTAACTTCACAGCTGACCCCCAATATGCAAGTGCCAATGAACACATTCCAACATAATCACTGACTACAGATTCGAACCAATCCTGATCTAGTCGGGACTGCGGACAGCTACTTTGGGCCACACTCGATTTTTTTCTCATTCATCCACATCTCACCATGAAACCACGAAAACCTCCTGAGAAAGCATAAGTGTTCCAACGCAAGTCTATATGTTTTTATGTATTTCCAGCATTATCTATCACCATGCTCCTTAAGAAAGCCCTAACACCCGCTGCCATAATCGCAGACTATTTAGTCAAAAGCTACGAGCAGGGTTCCAGGACAGATCCCACATTATCGTGTTGTCACATGTACCAGATTTTAAGGCTTGGAGGTCAGAGTTTCATTCGTTTGAATCCTTTTGGTTGTGTGGCACGTCCGAATTTTACGGCTAGTGCCTCCGATCCCCATGGGCGACATATACTCGTGCGTAAGTTACTCGGCTGCTAACGCGATACTCAACTTATTCATGGTATCCTTCAGCTGAATGTGCTGCACATAGCATGCTTCTTGTTTCATTTGGCACGGTTTTCGGGATATGGAAACATATTTTCCTGAGGTGAAGTACAGCTCAGATTGGCTGGTGAAAACTTCGGAGAGATTTCGGCAACAGTATGAGTAGTATGTTGTATCAAGAAAATTTGTTTGCAGTTCTATTTTATTTTAGTTGAGCTGTTCAGTGTTTGGTAGGTTTATTTGTATGATCGGTGACCTGAAAGAGCNACTCTGTGTAAAAAGAGATTGTTGTAGGGTGAAGAAGGAATAACATGAAATCTACTTTCATAAAAAATTTGAAGTGAAAAAGGTGCGTCCATCCGACTCATCTGGTCAATCAACTTGCGATTGGTTCACAGTCAGCTGGACTGTCTAACAAATGCTGGAGCACACAAATTCATTACTGCTGGATCAACTATCAGTGCCTACTCTGATCAGTGTAGAATATGTAGAACCTTGCTTATTTTAACCATCTTTATGGGTGATCGTTCGGCTATTATCTGCTATGCAAAGGGTCCACCGTAGTGGGTACCTTTCACCATCGCTCGCTGTTTTCGAATGAAGGACTGTCTTATTCTTCTTCGTTCCGTAATTTGAAACATTTACGGGAGTCAAAGCGGTGTAATTTAATTCTCAAGTGATGTCCTCATCAGGCAGTGGTACCGGCCATTTTGTTGTACGGCTGTGTGGCGTGGCTTCAGCAAGCAGCCAAATTGAGATGTTTTCATGTGTTCGACAGCTGTTATCTGAGACCCATAGCTCGTCTAAGGTGGTACTAGCAATTCCTCAGCGGGAGAACGAGTGTAGCGTTGTGCAACCCGGATTTCGGTCAAAAATGTGCCCAGTACCAAAAGTTGCATGTTTGATCATGTATTGCGTGTACTGAAACCGGTGCTGTTTTCCGGTGCTCAAGCGGAGAAATGATCAACCTGTGATCTGACAGAGGCATACTTTCGATGCAACTAGTCCTCTGGGATGGACTCGCCGTGATTCTACTTGTGCATGCTTGAAGACGCTGCAAGATGTGTTTGTTTATCCATATCGACAGCGTTGTTGTAGTCACTTTCTAATCAAAGTGTCTAAATGGGTGTCTGGAGATGTAGTTACATTATTGTGGTAGGTTTGCACTAGGTTTCCTTCCCGCTTAGTTCAGTCACTGGATTGACTCGTAGAGTTGTTTCCACTTGCAACAAATTCAATCCTGTTATGGCAAAGCCCCGCTAGGTGGTGTGTCCAGAACGCTATTCGCCATTACCTTCTGGTTATTTTTAAGTTTTGAGCACTCGTTCTCTGGCTTTTCGACGGTATTTGGAACTTGGGTGTGCACGCAGTATTTGTGCAGTCTCCTTAACATGAATTCACTCGTTGGTTTTGAGGAGACATTTTTCATCACCAGGCTTACCTGTATTATTGTCTACAGTGTTTAACTTTTGGCTTGAGATAATCCCGATATTGTTGATTTTTATCCATTAGACGATGCACGAGGCCAAGGATAGCGTAACATGTGTCGCTTTTTCTCGTTGGCAAATCATTACGGGTTCCGTCGACAAGTGCGTCCGCATTTATGACATTCGTCGAGGTAGGTGATTTTTCTCTGACGACGGTCATCCATATCGTAGTTGACGATAATTCAGGATACATGTCCATCTGACTTCTCGAGACTCCCTCACACAATGTTTGATCTTCATTAAATTAGGTGAAATGACGGAGGATTATGTTGGCTATCCAGTCACGTCGGTTTCAATGACAATGGATTGTCAATGTCTTTTGGTCGGTACTCAAGACTCTACTCTACGTTTGTTTGACGCCCTCAACGGGGAGCTTCTTAACAAATATACAGGACATGTGAATAAGACATACCGGTTAGTTTGAATGTGATCTTACGAAAGAGTGAGCTCATAAGTTGTTGGATTGTTCTTCTCTGTTGTTTGTTTCCAGAATGATGTACAGTTAAATGCTTTTACGTCGATAACTGAGGAGACCGGTTGAAAAAGCCTAAGCTGGTGTTCGTTTCTTTGCAATGAAACATCAAGACGACATTGGTTGTGAAATTTTAATATCCCACATTACTCTCGTCGGTTGCAGAAGAGAGACCCCACATCTGTAGGTGGAGGGTGTAATAAAAAATTGAATGTCGGTCTCACGAAAAAAGCCGGGGTGCGTCAATTCAAAGGTGAGCAGGTCAATCAAAAGCTTTTGTGTCGACTATTGTGCTCTGCACGACATCGGTTGACAAACAGCCAGGAGCTTCGGGTTTTGGGTGCGCATTATGATCTTAAAGATTCGAGAAGATTCACATATGTGACCTAGTTCGGAAGTACGTCGCGCGGTTGAAGATTCCCAATTACGTACCTTCACTGTTGGACGGTTATCCGCCAGAGATTCGCTGAGAAATGCACCAGTCCCTTCTGTCTGCAAACGTTCCGCCACAACCGTAAGCGGATCGGTAGGTGATGTGTGCGATAGATCATACATACTCCGCAGCTTAGTCTGAAACAGCTAGCTACACTAAGCAGCTGAAAACGTGCAGTTTGGGGCCGGTTTGAGTTTGTCTCTTATTATTAACGGTACGGTCGATCTGGAATTGTGAGTACAGTACGGCTTTTTTGTTTGGGGCGTTGTTACTCATGTCGGATGTGTTAGGTCTGCCGTGAAGTTTTCTCGAAAACAGTGCAATTTGGGTTCAAGCAGAACATAAGGCTGACGGAAACTCGGGGACTGCGCCTACCGGATGAGCTTCAAGAAGGGCGAGGCCGGTCGTGGGCTGAGTTTTCAGCAACCTTGTGAGTAGTTTACGTCTGGGACCGAGAAAAGTGAATTGAACGTAGGACCTAGTTTTTGAGGCCTTGCAGAGAATTCCATTCTATTTTGTTCTGTGTTAAGGAGAAAGTGTGCAACGGTCATTGTAGGCTGACATGGAGATCAGACTAGCCAAGGTGTCACCAGAAATGTGTGGTCTCATGACACTAGCACCCTGCGAAAATAATTGCCGGGAATTCGGTTTATTGAACCCATCAAGGGCCCCACAATCGTAATGTCCATTTACTAAGTTAAAATTCAAGATCTTTATGGCCTACTGTGACGGCAGTGGTCATGTTTAGACAGTTAGGGTGGCCAAAATAATCCGGAGTTAACGCTAGTTATGTGATTTGGTTTCCGGTCAAATTTCCTCTGTGTGGGACCTTTCATATGGATGGGCGGAATTCGACGGTGAAAATGGGATTGAATGAAATCGTTCTTTGATGCGATGTGCTCTCACTGTGCAGTTTCAACTCCAAGCACAGCCGATTCAATCAGTATGCAATATATGCTATCAATATTGCAGTCAGCATAACTTACGTCATTTGGTAGGGAGATTGTGGATGTTACCGTACAAACGTTTATAGCCGCTTTGACCCATGTAACCAAGAGTAGGAAGAGAAACTTCTAGGAGGAACACGAAATTATGATGGCTCTCTGTGAAATGGAACAGTAGTTCTGCGATAGCTTTTGGACTCATCGCCGAAACTGTGTAAACAGGGGGCACTGAGACTATTATCAAAATGTGATGGTAAACAACTCTAGCTAAAATAGAGGCGAGTTAGGGGCGTAGCGCTAGGCACAGCTACGCTCCCCAATAATGCACTGATGATGTCACCTCGATTAGTGATGAAACGTTTGCAATCAAATTGCCCAGCTCAGCGAACAAGTCAACGACCATCTACGCTACCGGAGCTACCGACATTTTCCTCTATAGCAAGCAGTAAATTTACAAGTGACCATAGGGTTGAGCGACGAAACACGTATGGAACTTAGCTGTTGGTAAGCGTGTGTATCAAAAGAACAGTATTAAGTCCACAACTAATGACATCGTTTGACGTTATTAAGAGTTGAAATCTCCCACCTAGTAGACCTTTTGGACTGATAACTGTGGGTATCATCGATTGTGACATAATGGATCAGTTTTCCACAAAATCGTCAATCAAGCAATCGCTCTCCTGACAAGTATTTAACCCATGGGGAATTTCAGTATTCTTCCGGCAAAATGCAGCAGAATAAGGATACTGTTTGTGGCAATAGCGTCTGTCGATTCCGGGTTTTGGGTCAGCCGTGAAAAATGCATTCTGCAGCTGTCTAGAAACGACTTCGATTAGGGATTCGCGTATCTGTCGCCGCTTTTCGGTTCACACACACATACACTGTACTCATTTTCTTCTAGAAGGCCGTCAAATGGAGGCCATTTTGGACGGAATGTACTCTGTTACATGAGAGCCTCTTCCTCTGAAGTTCATGGACTCATTTCACTTCAGCATAAGAGTTCATGAATCAATCAGGTCTCAGGTATATGTAGAGGTGTGTGCATAGAACCGTTCAGTTGGTGGATAGTTGGTTGCTTTCGGGTCTTTTGTATTTGACTGCTATTCCGAACCGTGCAATACAGAAACAACACAATACTTTCTGCTGTATGTCGCACTTGATTGTGGTTTGGATAGTAGTAAAAGTTGTGTAACTCTCTCGTCTTTCAGAATGGACAGTGTCTTGATGAACAACGACGCTCACGTTGCCAGTGGTTCTGAAGCGCACAGTTTGGTGTACATTTGGGATTTCGTACGGTCCAATTACCCGCTGCTTACCTTGGATCACAGTCCTGGCGGACCAATGTGGGGCGGTCTGTCCAGTGACGATGAGCCTGTTAGCCAGTTAGCGATCGAAGCGGCGAAGTCGGCAAATTTCCTTATCCACTCCCTCTCACCGCACCCTACTCAGAGCAGACTTTTGACAGCCGGTGGTGATTTTGTGTGGTTGTGGGACGCAGAACCCGACGTGTGTGAAGATGTTGATGTCGATTGATTCCATCAAATCCGTTTTCATGTACAGCTTTCGCGAAGAATGTCTTATTTTGATCCTGCTTAGTTTATTGTCTTCAACTTCACCAGTATTATGGCACTGCTGGAGTTTTCAGGGTGGATTTTAGACGTTGCATCGCCCAAGCAACACTAAAGGTACTGTTTATTATATGGACAGGCCCTAATACCAACTGTACTCGTGGCTGGCCTCGCGGATGCGTCCATCAATTTCCGAGAATATTGAAGCTCATTTGACCAGCAATACACTGAATCAGCTTCGAACCACAGCTTCGGTTTTCATAGACCAGGCCATCAACCATTAGTCAAGGAATACATATTTTGGTTCACTGTCTCATTGAATGAATACATTCGGTACTGACACTTGCAGACTGACGCATGAGCCCTTTAGAAACACGTATTGCGATGATACTAACAGTTTTGTCCCGTAATGTTCATCCTGGAAACATCTAGCTTGTACCATTTTCGGACGTTTTAACCGCTTGTGTGTGCGTGTAACCTTCTACGAGTTCTGCGATGTCAACTTGTGTTTTCGGAGCATCTTCTCTTTGATACCCTGCGGAAATCCTCATTCGTCGAATCCTCAAGAACAGACGACTTGTGTAACTAGTACAAAGTGTTGTTTGTCTCCACTGTTCGATTTATCGAGGCATGGGTATTGTGATGACTTAGACCCACCACAGTAACCCTAACGTGCCGGAAGCGTAGAGATGACAGTGAATTCAGCCACGATCCCGGGTTTATTGTCGACATGGTCACTGTGCTTGATAACTGGTTTTCAAACATCCTGTCATAAATTTAACGGATCACCAGTTTTAACAGGCAACAAGAGCTAGATCTAGAGTACACTAGTATCTAACTCAGTGCAATAGTCTTGCACCAATGATTAGAAACAAGAATAATTGATAATCTGTTTGAAAATGTGTTTCCTTTTACGTATTTACTACTAGCTCGGCCTTGGCAACAACTCATTTGTTTCTCCACGGAACAAATCGGAATCCAGATGAACCATATAACGAAATAGCCGAAATACTTCAAACGTGATCAGTCATAGCTAATTAGATCTCAAGCTAAGAGGTTAGGTGTACTCGAGTCTATCAAGGGCATCATTTTTCACATCTACTATTTTTTAATTGCATTGGTTTTCTATGAGAATGCTGTCCAGGCGTGCCACCCCATCAAAATACCAGGTCCTTCTACACAGTATTTTTTCAAACTGTTCAGTAAGATTGTTGGAGAAGGATCTATTAGTGCACAGTTGGTGACAGCCATAATACAAACCAGAAGGTGTATGTGCACTAATGGAAGTATGGTTGCGACACGTATAAAAATAAATACAGTGCGAGAATGGGAGCAAGTCAAAAAGGGAACTTATCGTATATGAGATTCCCTTGGTGGAAGTCCGGACGGCGGGAACGTTTTTCTGCGCAGTTAGACTGCTACACGTACTCCATGGTTGTCCGTGGACTTGTGGAGAGGTTGATGTCCTGCTCCCTGCGCGCGCGCGAGTCTGTGTGTCCTGACTGGGTTCGGTTTCCCTTTATGTAGGTCCCAGTGCGTGTTCGTGGGCGCGTCGGCACATGAGTAGTTGCTACGCTGACTAGGCGGTGCAGACAATCGATGTCCGATGAGTCAGCTTAATGCGTCGTGTCTGTGAGCGACTGAGTTGAACAGTCAAGTATGTGGGTGACTGGATCGCTACAGATCTCCGAAAGCGTCACACAGAATTTGGTCGTCTGAACGAAACTACAAGCCTCTTCCCCATTTCCGTGTTACTGTATTGGCTCGAAATTCTTTTCAAATATCTTATGGTTGTTGCGCAGATTTTGTCTCGGGTGCTCTCTCATCAGTGTTATTGTTTTCCTCAAGAAAACAAATAAGTTTTAACCAGCTGCCTACTGACATCGCATCTACGGGAGCGCTGTGCGAGAGACATTTTTCAGGGGGAAAGGGGATTAAGAATGTTGTTCTATAATTGTAAGTGCAGCTACTTCTGTAGTGCTTTGGACAGATGAATCACCAGTGGTTTACTGGAGACGTATTTATTCTGTCATCGCTGTACAAAGCGGTAGGAATTCGTGAAGAAAATCCGCATGAACCTGATCAAAACTTGAATTGCAAAGGATGGGGGGCCATTTTTTGGAAATTTCGTGAAATCAAACGCTGTCTCAGCACCGGTCGATTACACTTTACCCGATAGTCTAGTTTCTTTCCAGTGGGTGATGATTTCCAATTATCCATCGCTAAGCCCAATTCTTTCAAGATGCTGCGTACGGGGCTGTCCATGGACCCACGTATGACATCGCTTTGACGCTACCACGACCATCATACGCAATCTGACGGCTTGTGCGTAGTTCAGCATATTTTGGCTATCTCCCGACCGAGCTTGTTACATGCACCAAGAAGCTCATCTCAATCCACTGAATTTGTGCCGGAACTTCAATGCACTGACCACTGTTGAACGGTCTGCTTTTGCTGCCCATAAAACAGCTACTTACTCCCATGGAACGTTGGTTGGCTAAGTACGGTAGTGAAGATATAACCCCACCTTTCAGGCGATACACTGTGTGCTTACTATCACAGAAGAATCCAGCAACCAAGCTACCTATGATGAATTCCTTGGGTTAGCTAGAATGACAGGAAACATTTTCCTACAGAGGTTTCCAATGGCTGCTCCATTTTATTTTTGCGCGGACGACATAATTATTACTCGTGTATTTATTTAAAATATTTTCAAATCTAAAACACGTGAAGGGACCGACTTTCTACAAAACGGTCTATTTTTCAGAAAAATATCATGCCAAAACGTGACAGCCACAAAAATAAAAAATACCGCGCCAAAAATAGAGCATGTATGCAAACAAACAAATTTGAGCAAAACCCAGAAGTGTCTGGGGTGGTAAATATGTATCGAGTAAGTGCCGCCAGATGTTTAATCTTTATGTAATTATTTTCTTTCATACTATGAATTCAGCACAATTTCGGGTGTGCTTCTAGGACTCGGCAGATGTTATGGCACGCAAATTTATTTGAGAACAGTGTCGTGGCAAAGTCGCCAGCGCCGCTGGCTATTCGCACAATGAGATTGATTTCTCGAAATCTACGGCATTTTCAGACTTGCCACTTCATAGTGTAGAATGTCTATGTATAAGGTACATGCTCCTGTATTATTGAAAATCCTTTACTATGGCGA